CCTCTCCTCTTGCTTTCTGTCTCACGCGAGTTGTTCCAACTGAAACAGCCTGGCTTGAAATAAATCAGGCTGAAATGAAGCTTGGAGAGGCAAACTCAGGCTGGGACACACTCCTGTGCCTACAGGAGGCAGCCATATGTCATTTAGGAATCTGAATTTGCCACCCTTCACACACAGAGTCAAATTGCCCTCACTGTTTTATTACCATTTAATTAATTAGAGCAGCCTACGTGTAAGTGCTTTAAGGGAAAAAAACCCCAGCTTTCTTCTAACTGTGCTGTTCTGACTCTAGAGTGTAGCTGGTCAAAAGAATGAGACCAGATTAAATTGGAAATGTTATAGAAAGAAAAACCAGTTTCTTATTTTTGTCCCAGCTTCCACAGGCTGAAGGAAATATGCTGCTCAAATGCAAATATTTAGTAAATGACAAGTTGTGAGGGTATTTTGTTCAGTGACCTATGAGTCAAGCCATGTCCAGATACGTAGTCATGAAGTGGATAATCATTTGAACCCATCCACTGGGAAGCCAAACCCACACAGCTTCCCCCACCCTTCAGGATGGTGTTTTAGAGATTTGTCACCTTGCAGGAACATCTGTGCAGGTGTTCCAGCTCCTGTCACTCCACTCTGCCCACCATGGCCAGCACCCTGGGACCTTGCACATGCCAGCACTCATTACACAAGAGAACTACAAGTTTTATATTTGACTTCTCCTTCATTGCAGTTCTTTGTTACAGAACACAACTAGAAAGTTCATACAGTTGAAAAACAGGCCTTTGAAAATGCCACATGATCTACCTGCCTATTGTTTTAACACCAGTGAAACTCTGAATAAAATCTCTTTTGAAAACATCTTCAAGTTCCCAGCACACCCAGCACAAGGATCAGCTCTGGAGATAGGATCCAGGATCCAGCTCACCAATTCTACCTGAAGCGGATTAAACCAATATCAGAGTCCAAAACTTCAGAAAGAAACAACTCCCCAAAGCAAACCTGTATTCCTTAACTCTGCAAAGGGACTAGACCTATGCAGTGTCAATTACATCTCTTTATAATTGCTTAATTATTGGACCCTGACACGGATGTTTCTCAGTCCCTTACATGCAAAAGCTGTCGCTTTAAGTGAGCTCCACCATGCTGATTTTGGCTTTTCTTTCCCTTTGGATTCTGCTGCAGTTTTATGTTCATCAAGGACTGAAGTTGGGAAAACATAGGCACTCCCTTACATATGAAGCCTTATTAAGCTGGGATCATGCTCCCTGTTGGCAGGCTGAGGAATAGAGAGACGGAGGGGAATGAAACCAAGAAGTGGGGGGGAAAAAGCAACAAAACAAAAACAAAAAAAAAAAAAAAAAAAAAAAAAAACTTTCACTCTTCAGAGCAGGCACGCCTTCTTACTCCGATCATTCATCCCGCTCCTCTCAGCTCCCAGCCAGCAAAGAGCCAACATCTCTCTCCTGTGAGAACACGAACCCCCCCAGAGCCCAGAGAACCCTGACAGGGACTGGGGGGCATCCCCTTTCTCAGGCTGGGCTTGAGTTTTCACAGTGCGACCCAAACACCTTTGGTTCCAACAGCAGCACGGTCAGCAGCGCTTTGAAGCCCCTCATTCCGCATGGTGTGTGTGTGCATTACCTAACCCAGCACAGCCCCTCCTTAACCCTTTCCTGCCCCAGCGGGGAAAGGTGCCCGGAGCCGCTGAGCGACTCCGTGCGCACATGTGCGTGTTTACAGAGGGATGTGCTGGGTGCGCACATCCCAGCGGGGTTTGTGCGAGAACTCTGCGGCCCGGGAGGGATGGAGAGAGGCATGGAGGGATGGAGGGAGGGCGGGTGAGTGCGCAGGAGCCGGGAGCTGCTCCGGGAGCCGCTCCGAGGAGCGCAGCCCGGCCCCGACAGGGCTCCTGAGCTTTTGCGTAACGCAGATCAATGGGTCAGACTTGCAGTTTCCCAACAGCTTTCCCTCTGACAAATGCCAGAGCAGATAGCAGCGGAGTCAAACAGGGCGGCAATAACATCGCTGCCAAGCAGCGTGAAAATTGGCAGAGCCTGGCACCAGGACTGCCTCTCATCAGACACAGGGCATGGCCCGGCACAATGACGAACCCACTTAACAGCGCTGTAAAATTAGCCATTTATGAAAACAAATTGAATACTGCAGCAGAGGGTGACGTAAGGAGAGTTGGCTCCAGACAGAAACTCCTGTAGCCTGGATTAGCAGAAGAACTCCGTTATGTCAGGGCTCAGGCACAGGAGCTGATAACAACTTGGGTCCTACATGAGATTTTTAACAGGCACAACAGGTTTCCCCTATAGGCACACGTGGGGCTGCTCCTGTACCATTTGCAGTAATTTCTTATATGGCAGCAGAAAGTGGTGCAAGGGGAGCAGAGCAGAAAGTGGGGGGCAGAAAGTAGTGGAAGGCACAAGAGCAACTCTGAAAAAGAGGTGTATTCCAGTCAATCCCACCCCTTCCCTCAGATCTGTACAGCCACACAGCTTCCCACTTTGCCACTGGGATGAAAGTTGGGGAGAAATTCACTTCTGGTACTGCCAGCAAATGTGCCCCAGTCCCTTCCCCTCCAAACACCCAGATGGGCTCTCGATTTCAGTGGGGTCCTACAGATGCAAATGCAACAGCAGAACTGAGCTCCTCAGTCTGTCACATCCCAAAACAGTGAGAATGTGAAAGCCAAGAGTTTTGGCAGCCAGAACCCTTGATTTCCTCATTGAGGGAAGCGTAATCTCTCCCTAAGCTTGCTGCAGGTCTGGGAGGCTGTGGTGTGCAGAGGATACTCCAAGTGAGTTCCTCTTGGACCTCTTCCAGGTGTTTACACACAGAGCCAAACCTGGCTCCTCTTCAAGAGTGCGTGTGAGGGGGGCAGGGGGAGCTTAAAAATAAAATAAAAATCACAAAGTCCTCCCGAGCTGAGCTGAAGCTCTACAGTGCAAAACTGGGGCATTTCTCTTCATTTTTCACAGTGGAATGTTATTTCCATGCATAAAATGGGTCAAGTGTTTTATACAGGCAACAACCTAACCTCCCCCATCCAATTAAAGTATTTTACTACAAATGATCTTTGTGTGTGTTTGTCTAGGTTCCCTGTCGTGAGAATTAGAGATACTTGCACCAAAGACTGACATGGGGTCCTAGGTGTTGGATTAAGCACGTTAAAAAATACCCTGACCCTGTTTTGGGACCGATGAGATCTGTGTAAACCCCAATTCTGCCTTTCTAACTTGAAAGGGAAGCACTTTGAGCCCTGGGGTTTAAGTTAGGGTTGGGAACCAGAAGAGCAGAGTGTGAGAAAGCCAGGGGGAATAAATCAAGGAATAACGTGGTTCACCTATGAAATCACTGCTCTGAAAGGCACACGGGACCAGCCCATGCCCGGCACCTCCTGCCCACCCCGGCAGCTCCGCACAAACGGCGTCTCCCTCCTCACAAGCGAGCGCAGCAGCTGCGATTAAGGAAAGTTAAGGAAAAGCACGGCTGACTTCATCTCGGGTTGTTTTTTTGTTTGTTTGTTTTTGTTTTTGTTTTGCTTTCTTTAGGACAAAGCAACTTTCTTGCGAGGCAGCAGCGGCGGCGGGCGGGGATGGGGCAGCGGAGCGGGGATGTGGCAGCGGGGAGGGCGGCGGGGACAGCGGGGACAGCGGGGACAGCGAGCGGGGCTGGCGGGGCAGCGGCGCCGCCGGCACAGGCAGCGCTGCCTCCCGCGAGGAAGTGACTCCGCTTAAAGGGAAAGGGGAAATCCTCCCTGTCTCTTTAAGGCATCCTAGGACATGGAAACCTTGTACTTTCAGGGAATCTCCTTGCCAAAAGAACTGTAAAACATGTCTTCCCCCCGCCCCCCCAGTACCCGTTTCTCTTTCTGACTGGTTTCCTTTTTTTTTTTTTTTTTATTTTTTTTTTTTAAGGGCATTTCCATTTTCTATGACTTCCTTCAGAGCAAAGATGGATGTGGCGACATTTATAAGGGTTTGTAACCCTCCGAAAAGTATCCGATTTCACGACAACTTCGCTGCACTTTATCACTAAAGCGAGGAAAGGGCGGGAGGTAGAGGGAGGGAGGGGGAGAGGGAGCGAACGCGGGGAGAGGGACCCAAATTCAGGATGGGCTCATAAAATTTAAATAAGAAAAGTGCAATGCTCCTTGTTATTGTCCAGCTCAGACAGCTTAGACTGGTAGCTGCTTTGAGTACTAAATGATTTTATAGGGCTGTTTGACCTTAGAATCATTGATGTTACACTTGCCATTTCTAAGGGGAGACAAAAATACTCCACACATCCTCTAGCTGCAGTGCGAGTCCCAGCCGTAGCTGAGTGTCGAGGGGTTGGGAACTTTATAAACTCATTTGATTCATTTGAGGTTTCACAATAGCCAAAAAGTTCCTTTATAGCTTTTTGGAAACCACATGCTAACACTGCATCTAAAGAGCGAACGGTGGAGTACACTAAAAAGCCAATAAAACCAAGGAAATCGTAGGGGGACCTTAGATATGCGTTTCTTTGCAGCCACACACCAGTCACATACATTTCTTTCCATACATACAAACAAGCCACTTTCAAACGCTCTACTTACAGTTTTCCAACCTGAAAACCAGACAAAACCCCACCGTAAGAGCTGCCTCTTCTACCCGCACCTCACTCCGCGCACCCAGCAAGACAGAAACCACCCCAGGGCACTGCCATTTCCCCTATGCAAAAGTTTACATAACTTTTCCTGCGAGCCTATACTTCCAGCCGGTCCGCAGAGCTCCGGGATCTCCCGGAATATCTGGCGGGGCGAAGGCGAGCCCGGCGTGCTGGCAGAGGCGCTGCCATCCATCCATGCATCCATCCATCCATCCATGCATCCATGCATCCATCCCCCGTGTGCCGCGGGGCGCTCCCGCGGGGCTGGGTGTGCACAGCCCCGCTCCCGGACACACGCACGCCTCCAGCCGGCTCCCGGCACGGAGCGGGGATGCTGCAGCCACAGGCACGGCCAGACCTACCTGCAATGACAGCCGGAGATCTCTGTCCGCCTTCGGCTTTCAGCCACACTTGCAAAGTGAAGGCATCTCGGGGCAGCTCAACGTCTGCCTTCAGCCGCAGCTGATCACCTTGGCCACTGAAATAGAGCGCCCTGCTCGGGGTAAGGGACTCCTCTTCGTCCTTTACCTCCCGCTGTTGCCTCCTGCGGGGGACATGCCCAGGCTCCAGCCCAGCAGTGGAGCGCCTTCCTCGGGCTAACCTGGTGGCACAGGTGCCCGGGGCAGTGTGGAGGAGCTGGCGGCTGTGCCTGGTGTCCCTTCGTGCCCTGCGGGAGCGCTCGTCCATCCCACATTCGGGTCCACTGGCTAGGGCTGTACAGAGAAGCGCAAGAGGCAGCAGCAAACTCCAGAGCTGCATTTCCAATCTTCCCCCCCCTTCTCCCCTGCAAATCCTCCCGATCTGCCAGCTTTGGGCTCCTCCTTGCCTTGACTTTCTTCTCTTGTTCACCCTTCTTGGTATTTGCTCTTTTTATAACCCTTCTCAGTTGCTTTTTCTTTTCTTTTTTTCTTTTTCTTTCTTTCTTTTTCCTGCTTATAGATTTTTTTTCTCCTTAAAACAAATAAAAATCAAATAAATCAAAACTCCTTCTTGGTTGAAATGTATTTCTCTGTTCTTCCTTCTCTATCTGTCTTCTTCTCCTCTATTCCTCCACAGCTGGAACTCCTCTCTCTCTTCTTTTCTCTGCTGAATTTTCTTCCCTTTATTTTTTTTTTCTTCTTAAAAAACACACACACACACACACTCACACACACTCAAAACAAAACAAAAAACCAAAACAACCCCCCAGCTTTCTCCAAGACTCAGACCCACTGATTTCCCTCCCCCCAAAAGATGCTCTAATCTATTTATTTTTTTGGCCTCCTTTATAACATAAGCCACAACCCCCTCCTTTCCCCCAACCTCCCCCCCTCCCTTCTTCTCCACAAAATGAAAGAAAAGAGAAAAAGCCCCTCAGAAGATGAGTAAACAAGAATATGCTAATCTACTCTAGGGTGCTCCACCTTCCCAATTGAATGATTCCCATTAAAACTGCAGGGATCATGACTAATCAATCAGCTTGAAGGAGCAGATAGCTCCAGAGGTTCAAACACTTTTGCTGTTTTCCTTTTCCCCCTTTCTTTTCCTCTCTTCCTCTTTTTCCCCCTATCACTTCCCCCCCCCCTTATTTATTTTTTAAAGAAGACAATCAAGATGAATGGATCAATGTGACAAAAATCCTGCACCCCCCTTTTTGCAATCTCCCCAGCTTTCTTTCTCAGTCCAGTCCAAAACACACATTCCTATTTTTTTTTTCTTGGCAAAAGAGAAAGCTATTTCTCCTCTCAGACTCCCCGTTGCACTTTGCTGGTAAACCTTATGCTCCTCTGCAGCACATAAAGAGTCTTGAAACTTGAGTCTCAGATATTTTTTTTTTAATTGCTTTCTTTCTTTCTCTCTTTTCCACTCTCTCTCTCTCTCTTTTTCTAATTCCTTCTTTTCCTCTTATTATTTTCTCAAAGTTATGCAATCAGCCAGGCTCTCCCTTTTGTGGTCCCCCTCAGTGCAGTTGTGTTCAGCTAATCCAAATGTTGCATCAAAGGTCCCCATCGAATCATCAGGAGCTAAAAGGAGAGAAGCTTTTTGAAGAGCATTTGCCTTCCAGAAGCTGTAGCAACAGAGTAGGATTTGGCTTTTGAGTGCTCCAAAGGCTCTTGGGTTATTTTTTGGAAATAATAATTAAAAAAAAAAATCAATTATTCATTTTATTGGTGGATTGAATCAAAAAATCCTCTCTCAATATTGCTAATTTTCAGCCTAAGGAATTCAGCTCCCCTGGTTTCCTTGGCTTGGTTGTAGCCACAGGTAAGCTCCTGGCTGCTTGCTGGTTTGTAGATCTCTGTTTCTGAGCTGGGACGTTTCTTTTTTTTTTTTCCTCTTTTCTTTTTTTTTTTTTTTTTAATATTTTTTTTTCACTCTTGAAAGATCTCAAAAGCTCCCCCTGATGGCAACAAAAAGGATTTTTCTAAGTCCTTAATCAGTGGAAATGACTTGGCAGTGGCGCTCACGGAGTGTCGGGGCCACTGCTCTCCTCTGAAGAAATCCAGTCAAACCAAGTTAAATCACACCAAACCTGGCCACAAACCACTCACATCATCCTCTTCTTCCCTCTCTAAATTGATGATTGTTACATCTTTCTTTCCCTATATATTTTCAACAGGAATCATGCACCAGAGTTTTCCTGGGACTGGAATCTCTCTGCTTCTGCAGGCTCCCCTGTTAGCATCGCTTAGTTCTGACAACTTCCACTTGAAATATACATTATAACAGTAGTGAAAATCAATTTTTTCCGATGATAAAGGACTGCTGCATGTTCACAAGTCTTCCAAAAAAGTTCTTTTTAAGTTTCTTGCTAATTTGAGCACTCCATGATCCACAATTGGCATTTCTAGTGGCGCTGGGTTCATCCCCAAAGTCCCACCAGAAGTCAACCACAAGCACAGCCTTAGAGCCCCTCTCTATTCTCCAGCCCATCCCTCCACCACAGCTCATCCTACGAAAAAGACAAAATACTGGGAGCATCTACAAAGTTTATAATACAAGACCTCCAAGCCATTAAGCCTCTCAACAGCTGAGAGGAAATGTTTAACTGGGAAATAAACGGTACAAACTCCTATAAATGTCCTGAAGAACTCTCAGGGATATGAAAAAGACACTTCTCTCTCCGTGCCTGTTTGGCAGAAACAATTTAAGATCCGAGCTAAGTGCTGCACTGCACTGTTCTAACTTAGCTCGTAGAGGACACTGCAAATCAACCAAAAAAATCCAAAAGTTTAAAGTGAACCTGTTCAACTTCAGCAAGAGCTAAAGCAGGAGGAATCCTGCTGCCAGGACACTGCTTCCTCCACATGACAGCTCCTCTGAGGGCCCTGGGAACTCTGCACATGTCGAGGCTGGAAGAGCAGGCTCTTAAAATAATGCTGGTTCCACTTTTTCCAGGAGAAAAAGCTAATTCTGTGAAATCGTGGTGTTTCTTAGGGACATCACGATTTGGCTGAAATCATCAAGGAAAATTACTGAAACACTTCAATTTGATAGCACTGCATCATTTAATTTTGGACACACTTGACCTTCTATCTCTTACAAAAGGGTTTCACTGTGACCAAATCACACTTCAATGCATCAGCCTGCAGCTCCACTGACAAATTCTGGGATATTCTTGCTGCAGAGGAAAAGCCCAGAGCTCTGCTTCCTGTACTTATGAAAGACAGAAAAAAGTATGGAAAGATGGGATTTACCTCTAGCCTACAAATTACATCTTCAATCAGTTTTATTCTGAAGACATAGTGAAAGCATAGAGAAAATGTAATATATAAACTCTAGATGTGAAGTGGAGGAGATCTGATTTTAGGAATAGTCAGTAAATCTTGGATTCCTTAAGTCTGTGGGTCACATCTAACTTCCCTGACCAGATGAAATTCTCCCCTGCACAGATGGACATTTATTCTCTGCTTAAGCCAGTACTTAAATGATGTACAGACCTGGCAGAGAGGTTCCTGCCCAAGGAGAATAATCCTACTGCTGCACTTGAGTGCAATATTCTCCTCAGGAAAGGGAGAGGGAGATTGTCTTGCATCTAGAGGTATTTTCATGAGAAAAAGGCAAAAAAAAAAAAAAGAAAAGCATCTAACCCTAGTTACACACATAGAGAGAAGTATTAGAATAGATATTTATGACACCATGCCAAAAAATAGCATTGAGCTAAATGCTGTATGCAGTCATTATAAGGAGAAATACTCAGCAGGAATCTTAGCTGAAGCTGCCAATAACTCCCAGGTTCAAGACTGGAGCTGAGTGAATAAATCATAACAAATAATGGTTTTGTCAAATTTCGACTTTTTTCCCCTCCTATTTGCAAGTAGACTGCGAAACCTCTCAAATATGTTTGAAATTACATGGCCATTTCTTCCTTGTCGTTAGTATTTCTCCGAGGCCAATTAGCACACAATTTGCTGTAATGTACACATTTTCACATTTGTTCTGTGTTAATTGGGCAAGGAAGTCACACAGCATTATTTTTGGCTCCCTGGGGGGTCAGTTTTAATCACTCATGATACAGTAAAATTACTAATTTTACATACGATGGGAGTTTCCATGCTTGAAACTCTCCTTGCGAAAAGCGGCGCTGGCTCTTCAAATTACTCACATGGAGGTCAATTAAAAACAATATTTCTTGAAAGTTGAGCTGAAAAGTCTGCCAGATACAACTGAATTGAGGCCCTACTATTCTGGGTAAGTATTTGTGCATATTTGTCCTCTCCATGCACAACTCCATCAATCACAGCAGAAGTTTCACAGTCTTTACCCCTCACCGATATCCCAGTCAAGTCTCTCCCAACTTGGCTTGGGTTAAGGATGGCTGGAACACAATCCAACAGCTACTCTGCTCAGAATCAGACAGGGCCCAGACACCAGATTTTAACACAACGTGTTGGATTCAGGGCATATTTTATGCAATCAGCAATGGTATGATCGGAATCACGCTGCCTCCACAGAACAGCACGGAATGAAACCCAAAGAGCTGAGAAAAGCTTCAAAGAAAAGGGGATTTGGGCACCCTGGTTTGTGAATCCCATGAAGTCCAGCACCTTTTAGGAGAAATAGAGTCGTTTGTTTGGTGATATAGTGGTGGTGCAGGGGTTGCCTTGGGTGGAGTGTGGTCACAGCTCCTCGTGAGCCTGAGGAAACACTAATGAATGAAATGCTAATAACTGAAAAAAAACCCAACAGTGAAAACATGTGAAGCATGTTCTGTCTTGGAAAAGACTGAACAGAAGACCTAATGTGGACTCAGTGTAAATCCACCAGATTTTTCATTGTTTTCTCTATCTGTCATTCCTCCTCTTATTTTAAACAGAGTGATTAAAAGTCTGTGTTCTGCCTCCACTGTCGCACTCTGCACTGATAACAATCCTGATTGCAAGGATTTATAACTATTGCCTGCACACTCATCATTCCACACAACTCCACTCACTGGAAATCACAACACCAGCTCTGGGTTGCCTTTATTAGTGGATAAGAGACTCTTCTGCTGCTGGTCCCTCAGCTGCCCCTTATGTAAAATACTCTGTTAATTTACATCAATAAAACAGCCCCATGTCAATTTGAAACACACCCTTTAATCCAGAAAAGTTTACTGAACAATTAAGAAGTGCAATAAATGACAATCAAGACTAAAGGCATAATTGATGACTTTATGAAGGTTTCAGTAATTTTATAAGGTAATTTGCAGTCAGTGGCTATAAATTCCTATTTAAACCTGGCATACCACTCTTTTTTGCCCTGCAGAGAGCTGTATTTCCTAACAATACTGATGCCTGTTTGCCTGGAATTCAGTTACTTTAGCCTTCAAATTTCC